TCTAATGTCCTGGCCCCACTGGTGGACCTCCTGATGGCACCTGGTATTTCTGGCCACTGTGTGACACAGAGTGTTGGACTGGATGGGCCTTTGGTCTGATCCAACATTGGCATCTCTTATTTTATTCATTTATTTATTTATTTTTCCTATTTATACCCCGCCCTCCCCAATGGGCTCAGGGCGGCTAACAAGGGCAAGGTAAACCATGCCATAATTAAAACATAATTAAATTAAAACAAAATAATTAAAACAAAAACATCCAATACTTAAAAACAACAGTGCTCAAACTTCTGATGTTATAGATCCAAAGATGGCATCAGTGCAGTTCCGGTGGTACTTCCAACGCTGTTTCCGTCCACAGGAGAACGGCTTAGATCTTTTTGCAGTTCTTACGTTAACTCGGCATTAAATATTACTTTTAAGCATTTTTGTTTATTTTTAGCCAGCGGTTTTCTGTGCTTTAGACCATGTCCTTCCTTCAGAGCAGACAACACCCGGTGCCCTTTCTCGTGCCCCTGGTTTGCAAACAGAAACGAGAAGTCCTCCTTTCCAGAGACACAGTGGCCACGTCTCCTTTTGTGTTGCAGCTACGAGAAGCGGGGCCGCGTGCGCAAGGTGGTGAAAGCCCAGCAGCTGTGGTACGCCATCATCGAGTCCCAGACGGAGACGGGGACCCCGTACATGCTCTACAAGGACTCCTGCAACCGGAAGAGCAACCAGCAGAACCTGGGGACCATCAAATGCAGCAACCTGTGCACCGAGATCGTGGAGTACACCAGCAAGGACGAGGTAGGCACGGGCAGGTGGGGAGGGTCAGTTCCGAGCTGCGATTAAATGCCATTTCAGAGGGTGGCCACGTTGGTCTGCAGTAGAAGATCTCCGTTCAAGTCCCGTTGCACCTCAGAGACCAACAAGATTTCCAGGGAAGGAGCTTCTGAGAGTCAAAGTTCCCTTTGTGGAGATTCCCTTTAGTCTCTGTGGCAGAACGTGCTTGCTCTGGCCTGCAGGCCCCGCTCTGCCTTGCCCTCCTTGGGGTTCCCAGCTCCCTGGAGGAGCTTCTCCTTTTTACTCTCCAGGAGCCGCCACCACCACCTCTTCAGTACAGGGGTTTCCCACTGAAGGGATCAGGACCTTCAGCTCCCTTTCCAAGCTCAGAGGTCTTGCCTCTGTCTCTCCCACTAGCCCAGCACCTGGCCACCATGGAGACGGATCAATGCCTTCTGCACCCCTGGGGGAATACCCAGTTGCCATCTGCTTGCCTTCCGCCCTCCTGGGCAATGTTCCCTCTAAGCTGTGGAGTCTGGTGAGCAAAAGTTCTACTTTGTGAGCTACTGGCATCAAAGTTGTGAGCAAGCGACTTGGCTGCTGCATCAATTAGTTCGCTCTGCAGCCATCCTTCCTGAGCTATGACAAAAATGTGTGAGCCAGAGGCTAAAAAACTGTGAGCTAGCTCACACTAACTCAGCTTAGAGGGAACACTGCTCCTGGGTCTCCCTTTTAGAATAGCGTGTCTGAAACAGTGTGTGTGTGTGGGGGGTCTATGTGGTACAGAAAACCACTTCCAGCATCAAAAGTTTAAATTGTTTATTGAAAGGAAAATGTTTACAAGCATAGTTTTAGCACCAGGCCAGTTTAGAGCAAGGAAGAACAAAAGAAACGGGTAAAATGCGAATCCTCCTGTCCCTCTCTCTAAAACATGCCCTCACTCAGAGGTGTCAAACTCATTTGTTATGAGGACCGGATCTGACATAAACGTCACTTTGTCTGACGGGGCCGTGTGTGTGCCATAGAACGTGATGCCAGGTACCGGAGACGGAAACTGTATAAAGGACAGCAGCTGGTCAGTTCCGAGTTGGCGTATCCTCGCTGCAAGGCCCCCTGGGCTGGGGGGGGGGGGCAGAGGGAAACCCACATAAGGTGGACTGGAGGGGCAGCTGTGCAGCGCTGGGCAGACGCTCCCACGATGCTTAACTGCTGCAGACGAGGTTGTTCTTCCGTGCTAAAGCCACAATGGAGTGGCTTTGTCCACTTCCCCCCCTCCAGCACTCCCTCCCTTGCGCTAGTTGTCCGCGGGCCGCACAAGAGTCCTGGATGTGCCGGTTCCGGCCCCCGGGCCTTATGTTTGAAGTAGGGATGTGCAAAAAAAAAAAATTCGGTAAAATTCGGATTCGGGTTTATTGAACCCGAATTTTTTCGGGAAACCCGAAAAAACCCGAATATCTAATTCGGTAAAGCATAGATATCCGAAAATTTTCGGAAAACCCGAAAAATTCGGGTCCATTATAACCAATGGGGCCATTGAAGTCAATGGCAAAAAACCTCTTGAAACTTTGCAGGGGGGAGGGGGGAGGGGGTAGAGGCTCCAAATTTGGACAGTGGCTGCTCATGCCTCTTCCCGAAAGACCCCCAAAGTTTCAAGAAGATTGGCCCAGGGGGTCCGATTCCAGGGGCATCCAAAGAGGGTGCCCCCAGTCCCCCCAGATCAGCTTGCTGTATTCCCGGTTTGCCGCCGAAATTCGGCGGCAATGCATTTCAATGGGATTTTAACCTTCTGCTTTCCTTTTTGCAGACCCCTAGGGGGGGGGTTAGAGGGAGAGGCTCCAAATTTGGAGGGTGGTTACTGGAACCTCTCCCCAACATGCCCACCAAATATCAAGAAGATTGGACCAGGGGGTCCAATTCTATGGGCCCCCAAACAGGTTGCCCCCATCCCTCCATTGTTCTCTATGGTGGGAAAAAAATACTTTTTTTCCCACCATAG